GCTGTCTAACGGCCTCCCATGAGCAACGCATGCAACGACTGCTGCAAGCCAAGCCTCAGAGCCCGCCTTCCCCTGCCTCCACCTCTCCCTCCTCGTCCTCCACCTTGCCCTCCTCTCCTGCTCTCACCAGCAGTGCTGCTGTCGATGACTCAGGCTCTGCCGTTTCCTCTGGGAATGGGTCATCAGCTGCTGCTGCTGCTGATGGGAACGCTGCATTAGGGGAAAAGGAAGACAGAGATGGCCCCTTGCTCCGACCTGCCTCTTTACAGAAGCAGGAGAGCACTGGAGCAGAGACCTCCGACACAGCAGCAACTGTGGTTCCAGTGACACAGGCTCTGGTTGCCGAAAGGTGGGGGGTGGGGTGGGATAGTTTGGGGCGGGCAATGCTTCGAGCAGCCAAGGAGACTGGAGTGGTGGTGAGGGGCTTTCAACCAGACGCTGTTGTCCCTCTTTCCCAATACCAAACCCTGCTTCTGGAACAGCAGCAGCAGCAGCAGAAGCAGCAGCAGCAGCAGAAGCGGCATGAGCAACGGTCAAAGAAAGAGGGGGTTGGGGAGGAGGTGGGGGAAGGGGAGCCGGAGGAGGAGGAGCAAGAACTGAACCCCCGGCGAGGACTAGAGGAAGCAGGTGATGCGGCAAGCAGAACTAGAGACACGGCGGAACCCGAAAGAGCTACGACTGATTATCAAGGAGTGGCCAAGCTAAAACCCAGGTCTCTCACCACCAACACCAGCTTCGCAGGAAGCAGAAACCGATTGTCTGCTGTAGCTGTGGTAACACTTCCCACACAGCCTAGCAGTGTTGGAACCCCTTACACGCAAGGAGGGACAGGTGCGCCAGCATCACTTGTGAGAAAGTTAAGTGCTGCAGATTTGTGGGAGGTGGATGAGGACCTGGCGTGTAGAGAGGTTGTATGCTCTTGTATTGCATTATGATGAGGAGGACATCTTCAGCATTCCTAGTGGTGTACTGTTCTCCTTTCTAAGGTGTAATTACATGTTACATGCCGGTATGAATCATCATTCCCAGTCCATCTCTAGCACGTCTTAGGGCGTATTCCTACGCGTGGTGTTCAGTACCAGCAACAAAAAATGGGTTCCTGAACACTGAATGTGTCAAACATATATAGTTTATGTTTGTATAGACTGTATCGTGAAAGTTTGCTTAGGTCCTCTTGTAAAGGCAGCGTGCTTCATTTCATCTGGGAAACATACATGGTTCTCGTCCAACAAAGAACTACACACAAGAGGGTGGGTGGGCGGGGAAATTGAACTAGAGAAACTAGAAATGAAGAACGTGGGTGAGGCCGAATGGCCTCACGTCCCTCTTTTGTAGGCAAAAGAGGGTGAGTAGCGCTTCGTCGCTGCCTTTGCTGCGTTGGCCCTCGCTACACTCTCACAATACACATTTTTAGAAAGTGTTACACACTTTCAAAAAATTACATATTGTGAAAGTTTGCTTAGGTCCTCTTGTAAAGGCAGCGTGCTTCATTTCATCTGGGTCTTCTGAGACATGTGCAGAAGGGGTTGGCGGTGGCGTTCTATAGATAGCTGGTGCTGATTGGGCATGGGAGCGGTGGCTGCGTCTTGGAGTTGCATGGAGGCTTGAAGGAGTTGGTCATGCGCGATGGTAACGTAGAGCTCCTTGGCATTATCGCTGCGCCAACGGCCAAGTCGCTTGAACAGCTGGTCGGATATCCCCAGGCTGGCTGCCGCTGTAGCAGCGCCCTTGCGAAAGGAGTGGGTGCCGAGGTGGGCGCTATCGAGGCCGGCCCTGGTGAATGCTTCAAGGCACCAATTCCGGATGGTGGTGTACGAAGGTGCGTGGTCCTGTGGACTTGCCGTACTGCTGTTCCCGAAGACTCGGATCAATGGCCCGTGTGGGGTGGAGGTGTGACCCGCGAGGAGAAGAAAGTGTCGTGTGCAGCGTACCGGGCAGTATGGGCCAGAAGTGGCGGCGACCGGAATCCACGTGCCCCTGCTTTCCTGGTCGGTCTTGGAGTGCGGGATGAGCAGCCACATCGCCTCCGACTCAAACTGTATGTCATGCCATTGGAGACTGACAAGGTCGGAGTAGCGTAGGAAGGCGGCGAACATAAGGATGGGGATGAGTCCTTTCTGGTATTCGGCCGGCCGGGTGGACTCCAGAAAGGGGCGGGCCATGGTGTGCACTTGGTGCAGCGACAAAGGTTCCTTGTTCCGGGTGGGGCGCGGGCCATGGCGTTTGGCAAATTCGCGCACTTGTAGTGTAAATGGTCCAGTCGAGGGAGAGGGCTCGCCAGTCATGCGATGCGCGAAGGCGACGGCGGAGCATGTAAGCGATATGGCAGATATGGTGGCCTGGTGATTTAGTGCATGAATGAGGTAGAGTGCCAAGGTCATATCCGTTGCAGGCAAGTAGCTCAACTTCACCTTCATGCAGAAGGAGCGAAATTTGAGCCAGTAGGGCTCATACGTTTGGATGGTGGAAGGGGCACGGACATGGGTGATTACGTGTAGTA